GGAGATTAATGATGTGCCCAAAAGTCACATGCTTAACAAATGGTTTTGTGACAGTGAGTGACTTGGATTCCATAGATCACTTGGTGTTTTGTGTCACTTACCTACTTATCCAAAATGTTGAAGTTTTTGAGTTTTCTGTTATAAAAAATACTGGAAAACACAAAAAAAGTCTTAACTACTTCAGAAGAAACTTGTACAAAGACAGACCTTCCCAGGCTAAATCTATCCTTTCTTCCCCAATCTCCTACCAAACTAACTAACCACTCTTAATAATTTAGCTTGTGCTGTTCTGACATTTTCCTTGGTTTGGACAGCCACACACACACGTGTCACAGTTTTGGGGTCATATTCCACTTACTGATTTGCATCAACCTTTGATTTCTATTTTACATAATACATGTCATGACACTTCACTTACCATGTCTTATTTTTCTAGGTCAGTACCTTTAGACCCATCTTATTCTTTTAACCGATGCAATACTGTGTGGACGTCCATAATTCGTTCAGCTGTTCCTCTGTTGAACTTTGTTTCCAAATCTGCAAGTACGGTGATCCATTGGCCCTCCATAGGCCTCCCCCCTAAATGGCATTAGCATAGAGGCCATGAAAACTCAGGCCTAATGCTGTACAAACATCCACATTTGGTATTTGATAGACACATTCTGAGAGGTGAGGAACTACTTAGTTCTTAGATGTGACTTTTGCACCCAAGCAGTATCTTACCCAAGTAGGCTACATTCCTAGGTGTAAAGAATGTTAAATTATTAACTACCTTTTAAACAGGAGCAGCCAAACTAGGACCCAGCTAGCCCAGCTACGACTCTTGCCATTAGCAACAAGAGGCTCCTCACGTTGGTAAAAGAGCACCTCTGACAATCCTGTATCTCAGTCTTAGCTTCTCTTTGTGCTTGATGTTTTCTTTAAATAGCACTAACCCAAGTGCTTGGGTATTGCATTGGCTCCTTTGTCCATTTTACCCAAAAGCAGACAAGCGGCCTTAAAGGGTGTCACAACTGCCTTTGGTAAAATATGCCCTCTAAAGAGCAGAGCATTTGGCATGTCCGATACCTTCCAGGTCGTGGCTTACTATAAGGAGTTTGAATATCTATTTTTTTAAAAAGGTAGAGTCTGGCATACATAATGGAATTCAAGGCACCAGTACAGCCCTGGGACAGTCTACGAACAGCTCCCTAAGGCCCCTGACCCAGGTCAGTGCGAGGAGATCCGCCTCCTTGGGTAAAGGTACAGGAAGGACAGAGCCAGTCCTTAAGAAGTCAGCTGGGCCACAAGCAGGGCCAAGCCCACCCAGAGCGATTTTAGTTTCCACTACTGCCTGCTTTCTTGTCACGTCTCCCATCCTCCTTTGACTTCCTAGGAAACAGAAAGGGTGACTATAAACATTGTAACTCAGCTGTGGGTTGAAGAACTATCTCCAGCTTAATTGAATTATGTCTATGGCTAAAGTCCTGTGTGTTTCTTCTCCCCCATGTGACCGATGCAGTGTGGTCAGAAAATGCTCAAGGCCTCCATTCAAGTCTTTCACTCATCCGTAAGGTTTGGCCTTGACTGTCTCTAAGGAATACAACATATCCTGCCTGCATTAGAAAACATTTTGAAAAGCCCCCCTCTCCCCGTTTTAGGAGGCAGTTGGCAAGAGAGAACGGCTACAGCATTCCAACTTCCAGGTCTTATCAGCCATACAAAGCCAATCTGACATTGAAGACAAAAAAGTGAGGATGTTGAGGAAAGACACTTGTTTGATACCAAACCTGGTAGAAAAATAAAGTTCCTGTATTCTACAAGTCACAACTTTTTGTCATGAGGAACAAAAATACGTCTCTCAAACACCTGCTAAGGGCCAGCAAGAAACCAGTTGGAAAGTGCAAACCTGGTAAACACATTGATGCTGGACTCATACAGAGTAAAAGACCAGAGACAGTTGGGAGTAGACCCTTCTCAGCTGTGTTAGGTAGAACATCTAAACAGTGTTTGGGGGGATGACGTAATGTAAGCCAGATAGAAAGGCAGCCTGCGAGCAAATTGCACTGTAGGGAAGAGAGGGACCCTAAAGGTGAGATGCTTTCGGGAAGCCACTGGACATAACACCTGTCTGCAAAGGCCCTGAGTCTCTGAGTGTCCATCAGCCCGTGCACATGGGGGCAGCACCCGTTACAGAGATGACCTCTAACCACCCACAGAGACCTGAGACATTCCCGGAGCTCACGGACAGCAGGCCAGAGCTAGAAAACCCCAGGAATCCTAAGGTGATGGGGAGAAGGCCTAGAAGGATTTTGCCTCATTAGTTGGGGAAAACCAGCTCTAGACTAAACTCCACTCTAGTTCTGCCTAATAAAGCTTAGAAACAAGACCAAAAGAAGCTATTGGCAAGGAATGAACTGCATCCTAGAACAAAAGGTTAAGGATATTTATAGTAATACAAAATATCCAGCACCCAACAGTGTAAAATTCCCAGTACCTGGCATCCAATCAAAAATTACCAGGCAAGCCAAGAAGCTGGGAAACAACCAATAATGAGGAAGGGGGAAAAAAAGCAGAAACTGACAAATGTGACATAGATGATAAAATTAGCGGGAAGGACATGATTGTAACTGTATGCCATTACGTTTAAGATGCTAGAGGAAAGACTGAACAGGTTGATACACACAAGCTATAGATTTTCAATTTCTAGAGATGAAAGCTATGAGGTAAATGACTAAGCTGATAAGAATAACACTAATACCTAGGGAATAAGAGCAGAATTGATGGACTTCATGAAAAATTCACATCAACAAATATAGCTTCCCAGCCAAATATTCTTACCAGCACCTAATTGGGATGAGCACTGGGTATTATATGGAAACCAACTTAACTATAAACTATATTTTAAAAAAAAAAGAAAGAAAGAAAGATGGTTAATGCGGCCTGTTTGGGGTTGCCCCTCCCACGGCACCGCCCATCTGGGTCCCACGTGACTGACGTTGCACCCTGAAAGCCCATGCTCCCTAGGCTCCCAGGTGCAGGATGTGGAGGCTGCACGAGACGGCACCCTGTCCTGTCCTCAGCGGGCTGAGGCCAGCTTTGCCAAGAGGCATTGACCCTCTCCGAGTACCTCCACTGGAGAAGCATCTGGCTTGTGCTCCAAGCAAGGGGACCCTGCCGTCATAGCAAGAAAGAGCAAGTCCAGCAGATGTGTGGAGTGTGTGCCTTAAAGAAGCGTCACAGCCGGAACTCCTAGCTGTGCCCTGACTTTTCTTGTTTGTTTTTGCATGCCATATAGACAGGCGTGGAAAAGGAAAAAGGATTTTTGGCTTCATATAGCTCCGCTGTCTCATGTGGCTATAGTTTTAAGAATTTAACATTCTATTCATGGTCCGCATTCAACTCTTCTTCGTATGCATCCTGTAAATAGTCAAGTCTGTCTTACAGGTGTGCCCCAGTTTAAGAAAACAGTGGACACATGGTGTATCTAAAGTAATCCATTAAAGAGCCTTATGTTTACAGAAATGAAGAGCTGCCACATGATTAAAAATGCCGTTTATAAACAGCAAACCCCTCGGTGCCCTCAAAATTCAAGTTAAAAAAAACCCAAAACAGCTTTCAGGAAAATATCTATTCTCTAAAACTGGATACATCTACACCACTTGGTTCTTGTTAGCCTCTCATTAGAGAACCAGGGATCCATTCATCATTATTAGAGGCAGGGGTGAGCGAGCGCATTTACAGGTCTTTCAAAGAGCCAGGATCAAGGTAAAATACTCTTACATCAAGTTCCACGGGCCTAGTTCAGGGACCTGAACAAAGCAAAGAGGGAAATGGGCACCAAGGAAACGGATGGAAGCCCTAGCAGCTGTCACCTCTGCTGGGAGCCCAACGAGAATGGGCATGAGCCTGCAGGAGAGGCCGGGTCCAAGATGGCGGAAGGGGAAGGTGCCCACTGTGGACTGTTCAATGTTCAGATGAGGAACGATGAGGGAGACTGGGAAGCCGCCTCTGGATGTCATCTTCTCTGCAATGGCCCCACTTGGATGTAAGGAGATGGACTAAAGGGCTTTCTCACCCTTCCTTCCTGTTCTGTCGTGTTAAAGCCCCTTGCTCATCCTTTGTTCCAGCACGGCGACCACCCTATACCTAATCGCCAACCGGGTCTGGTGTGGATTCCCCCTGGGAGAGCCACAGGCGGTGGGGGGAAGTGTCTGTGGAAGCTCTGCCCTTGCCATGCAGTCTCCTCTCACATCTGCTTCCCATCACATCCCTGTGCGAAGCTCATCTCTCCTGTAAGCCTGGCTCATGTACTGCTTCTCCCGGGAGCCTTCCTTGACTTGCTGCCTCCACAGGCAGGAATTCGTCTCCCCCTCCTCTCAGTTTCCCACTCCCCTAGCCTCCATTTCCCTGACCCAGAGTCTCCTGTCTCCTGAGAGAATTCCACAGGGCAGGATTACATCCCATCCACCTCACAGGCCCGTGGCGCCCAGCGCATTAGCTACTAAAAGTACAAATAGGGGCCTAGCCTTGGCCTTGCCAATAAGAGAGTCAGTTTTCTATACCATTTCCAACAGCAAATTTGGGATGCAGAAAGACACAGCACATCACTGTAACAATGTGAATATGAAATAGGGTCATATTCATTTGGCTCAGCCGTGTACTCATTCATGACAACCTTTTAGTTACCTTAACCAGCAGCACCGATAGCATTTACCTTTCAACTCAGTGGCATTTGTCTCCAAATATGGTAGAAAGATTCTTTTTAGCATCAAGGAGTGAAATGAGGGTCTGTAAGCACATGCGTGCACAGCTCCCTGTTAATCACATCTACGGCTGCCATGCCACTCGAACATCTGCACGTGATCGAATTATGACAGCAACAGAGAATTATACGGCCTGCCATTTATTTTTGTCACCTCTTTTCAACTCCGGTCCAATGGACCCTGAAGGGTCCAGGGGGGAATCAAATCCAAGGGAGCACAACCCTGGCTTTTGAAACATTTAACAAGAAGTCATAATCAAACGAAAAATCATTTTATTTTTAAAAGAATAAATTTACATACAGTACATAAGCAAGCCATCTGAAACCTTCCAAAATAGAAACCCGGAGCATATGGCCCCGAAACACCACATGCTTCGATTACACTCGGGAAGCACAAAGTTGCCTACTTGGACTAGAAGATTCCATGTTACAGTGCTACCATCAGGGCATGTTGTAGAGTGATTTCAGCCACAGTCATTCAAGGGTTTTGAGTTCAAGGTCCCTTCTGTGTTTCCTTCTGCATATTGTTCCTGGGCGGGTCTGAGCAAAATCAGTACGGAGTGAGAGCTGTTTAGAATGATGGTACAGGTTGGAGGTCCTGGCCTGGAGTGGTAGTGGGTTGGGGACAGGCTGAGGACAGTTAGGAAGACGACATGTTCTGCTTGGGTCCCAGAGGTGCCAGTAGACCTGCGGGCTTTGGTGTCACGGTTTCCAAATGCAGGGCTGGCCAGACCACCGGTCCTAAGCCTATATTGGATTCATCACGGGGAGCTTGACTCTTAAATTCATAATCTCCACGTCGCCTGAAGGAGAGGCGCTCCGGGCCACAGCCGAGGCTACACCAGCAGGGGGCAGTCTTTCCCCAGAGAGAAAATCCAAATGTCCCCAAGGAGCCATAGGGTCTACTCTTTGAAGGGGCACGCGTGGGGTGTGTGAGAGAGCGTGTCTGGGAGGGTGTGTGAAACGAGTGACGAAGGCCGGCAAGCGAGAGTAGGAAGCAGATAGTGACTTTCCTGATCCGTTTCTGCCCGAATCCAGGCCACAGAACAGTAGAGCTCAAAAACCAAAATCATCTTCACCAATACATGTATACTTCTTATTCTCCAGTTGCAAAACAAGATACTTCAAAAAGTGACCAACCGTGACAAGCCCTTGGGTCATTACTTAATGTGCTATGGCTAATGTGCTCATCCTCAACCCAATTGTGTAAATACAGCCTTAAATACACTAATACAGCTGATTGGGGTCCTATTGTTGGGACTTAAAAGGAACAGCGTTAAAAATGTTACATAAGTGCTTGCGTGAATTGCCAACACCCACTGCTTTGACAATAATTATGGCCTCTCCTTTCAAAAGATACAACTGGAAAGACCTGATCCTTTTGCTGATCAGCTTCAGAAAAATCAACTAAAATCATTTTACATAAATAATTATCCAGGCTGCAGGGACATGCCTCTTCTACTGCGCTGGTGGGGCTGGCAGAGGACGGGGTGCCCGTAAGTTGGGCCCCTCCCCCTTCCCATGGCCCCCCATCATGGTGCCACAAATACTGGTCAGAGTTCACTGTAAGAACAATCCAGTGGCAGGTCATTTTGATCCCTGCCTTCGAACTATGGAGATGTCATAAGAATTTGAAGGAGAAGCGAAAGGTTTTCCTAAAAACTGGTCTTCTAAATAGACAGGAGCACAAAGCCAAATAGCAAAGCTCATCCCTGCAGAATGGCCAGGGGACATATTTGCAGTCAGGACAAATGGGGTTTTCAGTTTTCACACTGGGGGTCAAGGGAAGAGCCTACCTTTCCAGGCAGGCTAACTGTCCCCCGAGGAGTGCGTAGGGAGATGGCGTGTTGGGATTCCAAGGGGGTTGGGCACCATACCACAAAGGATACTTCCTTAACTACACATCTACGTGAACTTTTCAGAAAACTGTGGATGCTTGTTCCTTGTCCTTTGGAACCGAAGAGGAGCCCTCAGAAGGAAGCTGCTGGCGTTTGCACAAGATCGCTCGCCTCAGTCTGAGGAAGATATGCACAGGCTTAAAGGGTGTGTTGCGTTCGGTCAGCCTGTTTTCCCAAGAGAGGCCAACACTATTCTTGCATTAATTACCCTTAAAAATTGCCAAGAGATAAGAGGTGGGAAGATGGAAGGGGGAGCCCCTTATTCTATTTAGTAGGTGAGAAAATAGGTTTACGGAAGGTAACTGAGAAATGGTGGAGTGATGTCCCGGAGGCCTATTCCCCCCACCTCGTCAGGCCCCGGGAGGGATCCAGTTCATCTGTTCTATTGATCCACTTACACAGGCAGCAGACAGGGCCTCCCCAGTCTGTAAGGAAGCAAAAAAAACAAAAAACAAAACAAAACAAAAAACACCTAAAGATGGGCTGAGGGCTGGTCCCAAGTCCCTGTGAAGCAGGAGAGAGCAGGACACTCTGAGAAGCCCAGATGAAGTGAGGTGGGAGCAGCTAGCGGGCTTCCTGGATCAGAAGAGTGTAGACACGCTGCCTGGAATTCTGCAAAACGCATTCACAAGGAGGGGCAGATGCTGTTTCAACACGCACACCCACAGACAACGGGACTCTGGGGAACACAGGCGTTTGACCACCATCTCCCAGGGTTGCCCCCGCCTCTTATCGCTCTACAGGGGGGTCCACAGCGCTCTCGCCACCCAGGCAGGTGCAGCCTAGTGCGATCATAAAAAAACAAAGCCACCCTGTCCAAGCAATGCAGTCTTACACAGTGACACCCCTTCTCTGCACCAACCAAGTTTGCACCTGAGACTCAGTGATGGGCAAGGTCATAACTGGAGACGCCTGGCCTCCAGCCTCTCAGATCATGCCTGTCTCTTTTGGATCTCCCAAGCCAGGCCATGATTCCTGCCATCCCATGACTAGGTCCAAGGTCCCTGGGGTGAGGGACCCTTAAAGAACTGACCTGGGCTTAGCCTGGCTTGACGTGCGGCGTGATGCTTGTACACTGACGGTCTCCAGGAGGCTGTATTTCCCTTCACACAGCAGCAACATTTATCTCTGACATCAGCAAGACAGACATGTGATTTAGGATTTTTTTTTTTTTTAAAGAAAAATGTATTGTCCAAACTTGCCCACCTAACCACTTTCCTGTTTTGATCCTCCTATCCAGTGGGCTGCCTTCCAACTACTTGAGGCTCAGAGCAATCCCAAAAACCTGTGCAGCATCGGCACAAAGGTCGTAGCACAGATGCCGACTGACGTGTAGGTGACGAACTTGTAAGGCACTTCGATCTCTAGTCTCCGCCTGGCTTCCTTGTTCCTGGTGACCACCTTGAACCACGAGTATAACACTTGCAGTGAGAGATTTTGTACAAGTTGGCGCACCAGGAGGATCAACACGATCCCCACAGTGAATTTGGTCAGACCCAAAACCAACATGTCGGTGGTGAGCGGCGGGATGTTCTGAAGAACAGGGAGAGACTCAGTGGGTGCGGACACGAGCTGGAAGAAGTGATTGATCCAGAACCCTATGGTCACCCCCGCCCCTGCGGCCATAATGGTGGTGGTGTCCGCTCTGGTTGGGCTGTAGTAGTCGGATGCGGGGTAGTTGTAACACAGGATGAACGGCACCACGATGGCACACACGGGGAAGAGGGGGCTGGCCGAGTCCAGGCGATCAATAAGGGTCCAGGCTGGGTAGGTGAGGACAATGAGGACCGCGGTGACCAGGATGCCACCCAGCACATCCTGCGGGAAGGAGAGAAAAGAAGGGCATAAGCCACTGGGTGCTTCTCCGTGTACACGTATAACCTGAGTCCAATCCGGTCACTTTGGCATTGAAAGTACAATTGTTACACTGCCTTCTTTTACACTGCCTTAAGAAATGGAAAGTTGTAAAAATCCGAAAACAGGAAAAACTATGGTGCTATTGACGTTACATACTCTCCAGGTTTTCTGTCCTTTGGAACAAAGGCTACACATTTTCTTCAATTTTTTTTTTTTTTTTACGTTTATTTAGGTTTTTGAGAGACAGAGCACACGTGGGGAAGGGGCCGAGAGCAAATGAGAATCTGAAGCAGGCTCCAGGCTCCGAGCTGTCAGCACAGAGCCCGATGCGGGGCTCAAACCCACAAACCATGAGATCATGACTTTAGCCTATGTCAGACGCTTAACTGAGCCACCCAGGCGCCCCCATGTTTTCTTAATGAACAGCTCTAATCACATTTTCCCTCCGTCTTCTATTATTTGGATTTAATATCTATCACAAGTACTGCATTAATCTTCACAGAGGGGGGCGTCTTCCTACTTGGCAGGCTGGGGCTGGGGCTGGAGGAAGAAGTTAGTGGCTGGGGGGCCCTGCACGCAGCAAGCTGCCTCAGGTACATTTACTTGGGGTGGTCTGAGAGGAGAGTTTGGATGTGCTCCGTCTTCAGAGAGAGAATTTCAAACAGTGTGCCGACAACGTCAGCCAATGGATGTACCACGCTTGTCTTACCTAACCCTTCCTTTTAGGACATTTCAGACTGTGGTCTTCTTTCTTCTGTTCTTCCCTTTCCCTTATTTCTTTTTCCCTCTCTCCGTCCCTCCTTAAATGCTTACTTAAAATACTTGAACTCCTTTGGGGCACCTGGGTGGCTTAGTCGGTTGAGCGTCCGACTTTCGCTTAGGTCATTATCTTGCTGTTTGTGGGTTTGAGCCCTGTTTCGGGCTCTGTGCTGACTGCCAGCTCAGAGCCTGGAGCCTGTTTCAGAGTCTGTGACTCCCTCTCTCTCTGACCCTCCCCTGCTCACACTGTCTCTCTCTCCTAGAAATAAATAAAACATTTAAAAAAAATTAAAAAAAAAATACTTGAACTCCTTAATGTCACCCATTTTCTCTTGCCCTTAGTGTTCTCACTGCAAAATTCACCAGAAGGTGAAGTCTTACTGTAATTAATAGAGGAACACATTAACTCAGAGAGTGAGGACCTTGCCGAGGTTTTGCAACAAAGTTTCACAGGGTTTATCTTGAAAAATTAAAATTTTTTCCCGACGCATCGGAAAATCTGGAATGCACCAAAAGTAGTATATAGGCATTACAGGAAATCTGAAAGCCACTGAAAAATAGAATAAAAAAAGATCTTTGTTTCCATCACCTGGAGTCAGCCCTGTGTACATACAGGCGTGTGGCCTCACACTTCGTCTAGAATTCATTTTTACTTCGAATTTCTTGGGAAGAAACGTTCTTTCTCCTTTTGAACATGGCACCCTGTGTTCATTTAGCAAATCTTTAATATTGGGCTTTTCTGAAGGTTATCCCACACCATCCTGGCTCTTCTGTGACCTCCAAGAAGTCTCTTTCTTCGTGTTCTCCTCTTTCCACATCTGAGACACAGGTATTTCCACAGACTCTGTCTTCCAGCCTTGTGTGTCTCCTCCCTTAGTTTATGTAGAATGCTGGCTTCCTCTCTCTAGTCTCTCATTGGCAATCTCAAACCCAGGTTAGCTCAACGCTGGACATTTTCATCCAGATGGACTCATAGCCTTGCCAACCAACTCGTCTAACATAGAAATGACCAAGAACCAAAGAAAGACAGGAGCAAAGGAAATAAGTTTGTAGAAAAGGAAATAGGACCTCCTCTTAAACACACAAAAATATACCCGAACTTATGAGTAAGTGGAAATTAAACCAGGCGAAAGAGAAATTAAAACTTACGTTCACCTGAAAGTCACTGCCTGAATGTTTATAGCAGTTCTATTTCTAATGCCCCCCTCAAAGCTGCAAACAGCCTCAGAGCCATTCAGTAGGTGAAAGTCCACTACATTCATTCTACAGGATGCTTCCCCGTGATAAAAACTTCCTCCTGATGCGTGCAACAGCTTGGAAGCAATCTCCAGGAAATTCTGCTGAATGGGAAAAGCCACCCTCCAAGGGTCGCATACTGCCCGGTTCTATTTATGTGACATTCTCTGAAAGATACAACGGTAGTGACAGGGAGCAGACCAGGGGCTGCCAGGGGGGAGGGGTGGGGGAGGATGCTTTAGGGGGTGACGAAACAGTTTCATTTTGTGTGCAAGGTTAACTCCAATCTGCACAGCTGTTAAAATCCATAGAACTACACAGCCCAAAGCAAAGGCAATTTTACTGTTTTAAAATTTACATTTCAGGGCGCCTGGGTGGCTCAGTCGGTTAAGCGTCCGACTTCCGGTCAGGTCATGATCTCACAGTTCGTGGGTTCAAGCCCCACATCAGGCTCTGTGCTGACAGCTAGCTCAGAGCCTGGAGCCTGTTTCAGATTCTATGTCTCTCTCTCTGACCCTCCCCTGCTCATGCTGTCTCTCTCAGAAATAAATAAAAAACATTTTAAAAATATTAAAAAAAATAAAAATTACATTTCGAGCAAAAAATTAAAAGGTGGTAGGTTTTTTGGTTTTTGTTTGTTTGTTTTGTTTTTGCTTTCACTAAATAACATTGTTGGGCATCTGCTACTCTGGGTAAAGCAGTGCTCTAGACTCTTACAGGTTCCAGCAAGCCCCCTCTCCCCCCCCCCCCCAACCAGCCTGTGCTGGGAATGCTTCCCTCACCTACCAGCTTTACCAAAACCCAGAAGTTCAAAAACATTCTGCTGATGAAAGCGGTAGAGGGGAAAGGGGACTTCTGTCCATGCAGTCGTGGGAGTGCAAAATGGCACATCCTTTGTGGAGAAGACATTTTTAATTTGACCTCTGACCTGCCCCCTAACTGAAATGAGGTGAGCTTTTTCAAGTTGTCCAGTATGGTGGTGTTGGTGACGGCAGGAGACTGGAAAAATGCCAAGTTCCACCTCTAGGACCGGTAGCTCTAACCCCGGTATATTCACACAATGGAATACTCTGCCTCCGTGAAACGGGTGAGGAGGTTCTGACGTGGAATTAAAAAAAAATTTTTTTTTTAAGTTCATTTATTTTGAGAGAGAACGTGAGCTTGAGCCAGGGAGGGGTGGAGAGAAGGGGAGAGAAAAAGCATCCCAAGCCGGCTCCATGCTGTTAGCACAGAGCCCAGTGCAGGACTTGAACTCATGAACGTTGAGATTATGACCTGAGCCGAAATCCAGAGGCAGACGCTTAACTGACTGAGCCACCCAGGCTCCCCTCTGACGTGGAATTTTTAAAAGCACTGTGCAGACCAGTATGTATGGTATGTTTCCATTTCCATTTTTTAAAAAGACGGGAAAGTATATAGGTGAGTTCTTCCTTGAATACACAGTTTCACTTTCATGGGGGGGGGCACAGTGGGCAAGGAGACTTTTCACAGGACACTCTTCTGTGCCTTCTGAATCTTATTATCATGTAAACGTACTGGCTTCTTAAAAATTTTAAGTGAAATAATTCAGTCTCTCGTCTTCCCAAACAGGATCTGCCTTTCAGTTCCCAGATGAAGTGGGGATCCCAGGTGAGCCCAACTGTGTCCTCCATGGGGGGGGGGGAGGTGGGCATACACGGTAAATGGTGGGGGGGTGGGAATGGCCTACCAAGACGTCACCTGCTTAGGACTGAGAGCATCTTGTCTGCGTGTCTTAAAGGAAGGGAAGGAGGAGACCCAAGTACAATGAACTCAAACACCCCAAACAAGCCTTTACTCTCAGTGGGGAAAAGAAGATTCTACCACTCAAATGATGTCCTGGCAAGCCCCTCCCCCACCCCCCCAAGGTCCCATCTGGGTTCTGAAGAAGTCAGAGAGGATGAAAGAGTCATGTTGCCTCAATTTATCAAACACAGAGCTGAAGAAGGCTGTTTTGAGACCCCTCTGGCAGAGGGCACTCCAATGGGAAAAGTCCATTCCTCCTGCTACGCGTTGGCCACAGTGCCCTTGACCATATCGCCTGGGAGGACAGAGGCAGAGCGTCTGCCTCATTCACTATGGCCCTTGGATCCATCTTGGCCATAGACCTGCTGAACCTGGAGAGGCAGCTGAAGAGATGCTGGTGACAGGCAGCCAGCAGGGGGGTGGGGGCGGCTGACGGGGCAGGACCGCGGTACTCAGAGCGGCCGCCGCATCTCCCGGACCAGCTGTGGGGCAATGACTGCCAGTACCAGGGAGCTGACGAGCCTCCAAGGCAGGCAGGCAAGGCCAATGCGCGTGAGGTCACAGCGTGGGTGGAGAGCAAGGGATCCAGCCGGGCCGGCTTGACACCACACTGTCTGACCACAAGGAGGCGCTAGGGGGCTCAGACTGGTTTGAGAGCCCAGGGGAGAGTCCTTCTGAAACTCCAGAAATATTCCGTGGCGGTATTTCTATTAGGGGTAGGGACAAAACACAGGTTTGCAGGGCACTGGGGGTTTGGGGTGATCCTCTGGGTGTTCAAGGAATTCACCCCAGCCTCGCTGGCCATGCCTCACTGCTCTCTCCCCTCGCTGCCCGTGAACCTCCATTGCTGTATTCCATAGAGTCCTCCTCCCGCACAAAGCCCTACGCTGGCTGTCACCACCCCGAGTTCAGACCTTCAGGTCACCCCCTGCCTGCCACTCCCCGGCTCCCAAACCTACACCGACTGCCTTCCTGATGGCTGCTTCAATAGCCAATGTTCTCCAATGTTCGTGTGGAACATGAACACTTTGGAATCACTGAGGAAGACTATTAAAATACAGACTTCAGGAGCACCTGGGTAGCTCAGTCCGTTGAGGGTCAGACTTCAGCTCAGGTCATGATCTCACGGTTCGTGAGTTCGAGCCCGGCATCAGGCATTGCATCGAAAGTGTGGAACCCTCCTCGGATCCTCTGTCTCCCTC